GTGCGGCCGGCGAACCCAGATTCGGGCCCCGCGCCCGGGGTCCCTGGCGGCTCCCAAAGCTTCCATGAAAGCATCAGCCCCTCGGCGACGCTGTTCGCGGAAGGGACCAAAGGGGCCGCTCGAGTGTGTGGCGGTGGCCAAGGGACTGAGACGGTGGCACAGGAGCCCGCCCTCCGTCTCTCGGGGCAGACGGGACGCGAGGCAGGTGTCTCACCGGAGGTGTGGTCCGGTCTCCTGCACAGGCAGTGGCGGCGAGACTTGAGCAGCCGCCAGAGGAGCTTCCAGGCCACCAGCAGAGACAGGGCGGGCCCCCGGGAGCCCCCCAGGCCTCGGGCTCCGTCACCCCTGCCCGTCTCCCCCGCTCCAGGGCAGCCTTGGTCCGGCCGCCGAGTCTCCCAGGACTCCGGGGCCCAGGGACGCCCCGAAGCAAGCCACGAGGCTCTCACCCGCCTCAGCTGTGCCAGGCAAACGGCCGCGTGGGGCCGCGGGGCCCCCCCACAGAGCGGAGAACCGACCGCCTTCGAGCTTGGCTTCTCGGCAACGGTGTGCCCGAGTCTAGACAGCTGATGAACGCACCTTTGGGAGCACGAGGCCATTTCGAAGGGGACCGCCTGCCACGTGGGAATGGAGAGGGGCCAACTTGCACGTGAGCCTCTGGGGGGCCTTGAAGCGGGGGAAAATCTCTCCAGAAACAGCCACCTGGCTGGGTGCAGGGGCTCAAGCCTAGAATCCCAGCACTTTGAGGGCCTGAGCCCACGGGTTCGAGACCCGCCCGGGCAACTTGGCGAGACCTCATCTCTACCATCAATCAAAAAATTAGCGCGGCGTGGTAGCCTGTGCCTGTAGTTCGGCTCCTCCGACAGCCGAGGGAGAAGGATCGCCGAGCCCGGCGGGCTGAGGCTGGGGTGGCCGTGAGGGTGCGTGCCCCTGCACCCCAGCCTGGGCGACGGCGAGACTCCAACTCAGGAGCCAGCCAGCCACCCCAGCAAAGGCACCGATGCCTCCTCCGGGCCTGCCCTATCTGGGCACCGCGCTGGGCGCTGCCCCACCCCGGGGGACTTGACTCACCGGTTCCGGTGTGTGGCAGTCCCCCTCCCTGGAGGGCTGCGACGACCGACCGCACAGCTGTAGGCGGCCCCCTCGGATGCCAGTTCCCGGCCTTGCAGGGCGAAGCAGCCGAGGCAAACCCCAAGCCAGCTGACCGCAGCGGGCACGTGCTGGGGGCGGGGAGGGCAGAGTGGGGCAAGCAGGGGCCGGGGGAGGTCTCGGGGGAGGAAAGATGGACGGCGAGGAGACGCTGGTGGGAGGGCCGGTGGCCGTGAGGGAAGCGAGGGGGATGTGGGTCATGCTGCCCAAGGCGAAAGAAAGGCCGCTCTTGGAGCCTTTACTGAGCATCCCGAGCGGACCCGGGGAAGGGCCGGGTTGGCGAAGAGGGGCCCGCACTCCCACCTCCGGGGCGCCCTCGCCGTGGCCTCTGTGGGACCGGCGTCCCCTGGGCTGTGCGGTGACCCGGCCGGGCCCCAGGCGGGTCTGTGGATGCGCCTTTCAAAAACGTGGCATGAGCTTTTCGGGAGGGATGGAGGGGCTTCGCCTCCAGTGGATGTCAGGGGGCTCTTGGCCTCAGAAGGTTCGAGAAGCGCTGCTCGGCTGGGCCCGGGACTGACCCGCGCCCAGAGGGGGTGTCAGCCTGGCCTCTTCCCAGTCCAGCCACGCCCAAGGCAGGCCCTGGGCTGACGTCTTGGCACCCAGTGGAGAAGAGCAAGGCGGAAACGCTGGCTGGAGGTTGAGGCCTGGCAGAGGAGGGGACAGCTTCCCCTGCGTGGGTGGGGCAGATCCATGGCCGGCTGGGTGTCCAGGAGGGATCTGTCCTGCGGTCTAGTCCCCAAGGATCCCGAGCCAGGTGAGAAGCTGGTGTGGAAGAGTGACAGTCCTGGACAGCCAGCTGGCACTGGAGAAGGGGAGAGGCACAGAGGTGCGTTGGCCACCACGGCAGGGCGGACTCGGGGGCTTCTGCGCACACGGCGAGGGCCCGTGTCAGACGCCTCCGGTGCTGTCCCCTCCCAGCTGACCGCAGGGCAGGTTCACTCTGAACGTGGTGGCCCGGGGCAGCGGCCCTGTCCCCTGCATCCTGTCCTGCCCAGCAGTGCGGGAGGGACCCAGGGCTGCTTGAGGACGGGCCAACCCCAAGCCGGCCTAGGGAGGGCCCGTGAGCCATCCAGGTGCGTCCTAATGGACGGACCCCTGGCTCTGGGCAGGTCCATTGGCCCCGTGGCTGTCCCCCGGTGGGCGACATGCCGGTGCCAGCTGGAAAGGCAGTTTGCTCGGCCACCCGCGGCCCTCCCCGAGGCCTCCTGGGCGAGAGGACTCGGGAGCCCACCCCCAGCGCTAAGCCCATTCCCAGTCCTCCCTAAGGGACCCCTTCCCCCAGCTCCTTCCCCTGCCCGCCAGGGCTGGGCCAGAGCAGGCGAGGCAGGAGGACGCTGGCTTCAGCGGGGTCCTGGGCAGGCCTCGCCGTTTTCGGGCCCTCGCCCGGGAAGGGCCGTATTGGAAGCGAATCAGCAGCAAATCCCAGCATCCGCCTGGAGCCAGTGGACACCGCGTGGGTGCTCGGCCGCCCACAGGCACTGAGTAGGTGTGGAGCGCCACGGGTGGCAGACAGTTCTCGGGGTCCCACGTGAAGGGGACCAGCCTGCCTGAAGAGCCATCTTGTTTTTCAGAGAGACACGCCAGGGCGAGGAGAGACCCTCGTCCTCCTTCAGCCGGAACAAGGCACAAAGCACACGACCTCCTCCGCCCGCCCGAGACGCTCCCCTTCCGAGAGCACATTTGGCGGACGCGGTCGCCGACGTCTACAATTCCAGCACTTGGGAGGCTGAGGTGGAAGCATCGCTTGAGCCTAGGGGTTTGAGGCCAGCTGGGCCACATAGCGAGACTCTGTCTCTTGCTCGCTATTAAAAAAACCCAAAACGAACAACACAGAAGGCCAGCATGAGAACCTGAGGGCCAGGGTCCCGGGGCGCAGCCCACTCTGGGTCTGGCCCTGTTGGGCTGGAGGCCTCCTCGCCTGGGGACTTCGGTGTGGGCAGAGCACGTGTCACCCTGAAGCCCGTCAATGCCACGCAGACTGGCTGGCAGAGGGACGAGAGGCAGTTAGACAAGACAGGCGGCCGGGCGGAAGGCTCTCCGGTCCCACAGGGCTGTGG